AGCTATAGCAAGTTGGCGGAAGCCAAAATTTTGTCAATCATCAGACGCCTATCTGTCTTGGATGACTGTACTTCTAAAACAACTGATATTCATTTCTTTATACTATTACATGAAGTATTTTTAATTATTTATTTTGAATTTCCAACTTACTAGGAGAAATTGCACTGAAAGTAGTTACTTTTCTTCTTGTTTTGTAGCCAGTCCCTCTTTTTCGGAAAATAGATAGTGATGAAATCAAACATTTGTCTCAAGTTTACAGTGGTTCATCTGCTGCATCTGTGACTAATGGAAACGAGATAAAGTAAAAAAGTCATTAATGTATATGTCACTTTCCTGAAAAATCACTTTCTGTGACAATTAATTTATCAAAGTACTTATTCCAACTGTTGCTTTCCACTATGTACTTTATGAAATATATGTACCTTTTAAAGCCTTACTTTGTATATCTTACTACTTTTGGCTATTAAATGAAATTTCGATCCTAGTTTTGTAGACAACGCAATTTAAAATTTGATTTGTCTTACTTTAAGATTCGGCATCTCGCACAGACAAAGTGGTCTAAGAGTTTAAATATTTACAAGTTATTTAGGAGCCAGTGTATAAAACTAGCGAAAACGAAATGTTCAGGTCTATGCGTATGACAAAGTATAAACGTTTCGGTCACTAAATCTTGTAGTCTGTTGCAGATTGTATTTGTGTATAAATTGTGGTGTTTGCAAGAGGTGATAACTATTTCGTTATTCGTTTCGAAGTTTTATTATAATTGCGGTACATCACTTCCACGTGCGTATATATCAATTTGGAAAATAGCTGTATGTTCAACTCCTTGGCCGTTCAAATGGTAGAATAAATACGTGTAATATCAGATGAAAGCTAATTGATCATTCCGAAGAGTTAGAGTTGGTTGCATTAATTAGGAGGTACTGAATAAGTTTGGCCTACAATCCGTGAAAACTTATGATGCATTTTCTAGAGTTCACAATTAGCTTCAAGCTCTAGGTGGTAGAAATTTGCCGTAAACTGACTAGGAGAAAGGAATGGGGATGTTGAGAGATCTGCAAATTTCTGTGCGTTCAACAAAAAAGTTATAGGTGGTACTATAGCCTCCCGTAAACGCATACATAAAGCTACATGGGTCTCATCGGACCACACTATAGAGAATCAGATCGATCACATCTGCATCGCTAAAAAGTTCGGAAAATCCATGGAGGACGTAAGAAGAAAGAGAGGAGCAGACATAGCTTCAGGTCACCACCAACTGATGGTTACCAAGATGAAACTGAAGCTAAAGAAGCACTGGACAACTAAAAAAACAGCGTTACAACGGTACAATACAGCCTTCCTTCGACATAATAAAGTCAACCAATTCAAGATAACTCGTAACAACAGGTTCGAAACTTATAAGATATACTCAAAGAGGAAACTACTATGGAGGACAACTGGAAAGGGATCAAAGAAGCATTAACTTCAACGTGTCAGGAGGTTCGTGTACGCAAGAAGCATCATCATACGGAATGGATTTCAATGGAAACCCTGAATGGGATTTATGAAAGGAAGAACAAGAATATGGCAACTAACAGCAGTCGAACAAGAGCACAGACCGAATACACAGAAGCAAACAAGCAAGTGAAGAAGAGCATTAGAGCCGACAAGCAAAAATATGTTGAAGACCTAGCAATGACAGCGGAAAAAGAGGAAAGATAAGGAAATATGATATAAGTATGTAATACAATGAAGAAAAATTCAGGGAAATGTGGTAAACCAGAGCGACCATTCAAAGACAAAGAATGCAAGCTTATCACTGAGATTCTAGAACAGAGGCACTACGGATCATTGCTGAGCAATTAATTGAACGGAATTCGTCACTGCATATCAATTTCATTGACTATGAGAATGCGTTTGACAGTGAAGATAGGAGAACCCTATAGAACCTTGTTCCACAAGATGGTGTGCTTGAAAGAATCGTCATGATCATATGGAGTTTATACAACAAACTACACTTCAGATTCGTGCATGTTGGACAGCTGAAAGATGCATTTCAAGTGAAGACCGGCTTTCAGGAAAAGGCTGTTTCCTTTCAGCTTTTTCTATCCTGATAGTTGGCTGGATCATAAAGATCTACATATCTCAGGGGATGCACAGAATACAATAGATAACTTGAACGCAAGTAGACTATTAGGACTTAGCAGATGACCTAGCTCTTCTATCCTACACTCACTAGCGAATGCAAGTGGAAGCAGTCAGTGTAGTAGAAGCCTCTTCATCAGTAGGCCCCAACATGCATAAGAGAAAAAGCAAGATTCAAAAATACAACAGAGAGCATCAATCAATTCATACTTGATGGAGGAGCTCTGGAGGAGATGGAAACTTTCACACATCTGGACAGTGTCATCGATAAATAAGGAGGATCTGATGTATTTATAAAGGCGTGTATTGGCAAAGCAAGGGCAGTATTGATACGAACGCCGAGACAGTTTTATTGTACGGAGCTGAAAGTTGGGGAACCTCTATAATCCTGATCGAAAAGGTACAGGCATTTGTAAACAATTGTTTATGTTAGATACTAAATATCCCTTGGCAGGATACAATGAGCAACAACCTACTGTAAAAAAGAACAAACCGGATTTCAATTGAAGAGGACTTTTGGAAAAGTCGTTAGAGGTGGGTATGACATAAATTGCGAACACTATCTGATTGCGTCATGAGGCAAATGCTAACTTGGGATCTTTAGTGGGAAAGGAAGAGATGCAGACCAAGAACACATTGAGTCGGCAATTGGAGGTAGACATCTAAAGAAGAAACACTGCGACGAATAAATGTTATCAATAACACAGAAATGCTACTCTACCTTTTTCATTAGATCACATGCACATCGTTCAATAGGTAATATTCATTTTTATTATGATACAGAGTGTTTCGAATTTTAGAGAATCATTCAATTCACAATGAAAAACTGAACAACTCTGGTTAAATCGAGCAACACAAACAAAAACGAAAGGAATCAAAATGGTTACCGCTATAATAAAATATCAACTAAAATAAGATATGTGAATCTGAAAAAAAATCGAAATTCAGTAAAGACTTAAGAAACATTATAACTACGATAAAAAGCAGATAGTACTATTTCAAGTGGAATTAAAAGATCAGCAAAATCTACACCTTAAAAATCAGGAAGAATGTATCACAAGTGTGTAGGTGGAAATATTTTTATATACACAACTTTCAAATATAATACTACAATTTAAAACAAGTAGAAAGGATCGCTTGGTGAACAGTTAGTTGAAGAATCCTTATGAACGGTCGTTGGTTCCACATGAGGGCTTACAGGCATTAGTAATTACTGTATTTATCAACCACAGTGTCATGCCAAAGTAAGGAAATATGACTGAGTTCTAGCTAAACCATCCTTGGAGTCTTACCGATCTTCAGATTAGAAGCCTGATCATCCAAGATACTGTCGTTGACAAAATTTAATCCGGATCAAAGCTAGTCAATGTGGAGTAATCAACTCGATGACCAGATAGTCCATCATGATAAGGTAACGTAACTTAGACCGTCTCTCTAACCTTCGCACTGATGCAACATAAATTTTGCATTGCGGCCAGCGAAATATTAGATACTTATTGTTCGCCTACAGATTAGACACATGCTTTGTCACAAAACTACTATTATGGGTTAATCAAAATTACCCGGACCAAGAATAATATCAGGCTACATGGTCTATAGGCTTGTTGAACAAGACCTAACAATCAGTCTAAAAAAATCAAGTCAATAAATCTATAAAGGACACAAACTGTTTGCTTATCAAACATTACTCAGGATAAACTTTACAATTCATAGCTTCGCAAGCTTGATTTGAGCCATTGCCAAAATCGTCGACGGAACAATTAATAAAACCATTGTCAACAAATTTACAGTGTAAGAAATAAGATTTTTGCTTATCCTTATACGAAATCGACCCTCCAGAGCACACGTATCTTCGTTGGTTCCATTCGTGTCAAAAACTGCCTGGTGACACGGGGGTGGGTTTTAAGGGGATATTAAGTGAAGATACAGGCGCTGTTTCTTATTTTTCGCTGATATCAGGCCACGGTGTTGACTTGTAACTGAAATCAACCGGCTCTCACAGTTTATATCAGTAATAATTCATACCTTTAGTAACTGTTCGTCTTGTCCTTTAGTGTTACAAATCGGTGGATGATTGACTGAAAATTAATACTATGAATTATATTATTAACCAAGGCTCACATGTCAATGACAGAACTTGTGTCAATATTGGTATCTCTGTAAGCCATAGATACAGCCTCAATTCATTGCGCTTTGTAACAACTAGTTTGTGATTTTGTTATTTATGGTGTACGAAAAACACAAAAATACAAACACTCGGCTATTAAAAAAGTCTTATCGGCCGATTTATATACATTTCAAAGAAATCATTCACTCAAGAAAACAAATTTTTAAGTATCACAAACTTGAAGTAAATCGTTTGTTACATCATTATGACTTGCCACGCTGGTGATCTACAGTACAGAGGTTGAAAAGTTTAGGGCCTTATAAAATTTAAGTTGAAATAATTTGAAGGAAACCCCATATTAGTGTGGCTTCATATACGTTGTACAAGTAAGGACTCCTAACAAATTACGTACCTTATATTTCGAGGTGATTTTATAAAGCTGTATAAGATACTGACAAATTAATTCGGTACTGATTCATCCTTCTTTTTCCTTTCATCTAGGTTCGTAGTTCAAAGTCATGAGCAAACAGATATCCTGAGGCTCACAGCTTTTTCCAATGAATCTTGTAAGGTTAGTATTATTGTATAGAATGTCGGAAAATATTTGTTTTGTGATTTATTAAACATCTACTCCTGAAAGAAATGCATCTGTAGTCATCTGACTCGTTCGAAAGATCAAATATTTACAAAAGATTGCCTAAAAATAAGTCAAAGAATCCCTTAGCCTTTTGTCCTCAAAACATACCTTTGAACCTGTCACTGTTTGTATGCATCCGCGTCGAACAGCGCTACATATGTACCTCGGTGTGCGCGGCAATCTGACTAACCGTAAACCTAGGTTAATGACTGCTCTAAAGCTGCTGTGTGCGTTATTGTTGACGTCTATTTTATGTTTCGGTCTTATTCTCAGTGAAGCGAATGGACCTAAAGTTACTGACAAAGTAACGTTGGAAAATTCGGAATATTTCGATCTCTAGGTGTTCTTCGATATTGAAGTCGATGGAAAACCACTAGGTCGAATAATTATTGGATTGTTTGGTAAAACAGTGCCTAAGACAGTAGAAAACTTCAAGCAAATTTCAATTGGCACCCAACTGGTAAGAAAAAGCCTGATATTGTTACGTGTACGAGTTTAGAAGGATGGTCGAACTGCTTCTTATAAAGGAAGCGGTTTTCATCGTGTCATTAAGTCATTCATGATACAAGGTGGAGACTTCACAAATCACGATGGAACTGGCGGTAATCTTGTGGTTTAGTGATTTTCTCAGGTTTTAGTATATATGGTGATAGGTTCCCTGATGAAAACTTCAAATTGAAACATGTAGGCGCAGGGTGGCTATCAATGGCTAATGCTGGTAAGTCTACTCACTTAAAATAACTGTTGCAGGTCCTGATTCAAATGGAAGTCAATTCTTTATTACGACCGTAAAGACACCATGGTTAGATGGAAAACATGTCGTTTTCGGAAAGGTTGTAGAAGGAATGGTTAGTTGGTTTAAGTCTTGTTATTAACTTACAGAGTATTGTTAGAAAGATTGAAAGTGAAACGACGGATTCAAGAGACAGGCCTGTTAAGAGCATCAAAATAGCAAATTGTGGACACATTCCTGTGGAAACGCTGTTTTCGGTAACCAACGCTGATGCTGTCGAATAAACTAGTGTGAAGAGTGTCTTCCACTTTCTTGTATTTATGTACATTCGTAAATATAATTTAGTCAAGTGGATGTGTGTACAGATTTTTCGTGAAACTTAGGTAAATCCTGGTTGACTTGTCATCCGTAGACATTCCTGACACGTTTGTCTAGTGATTTCATTTGTCCAGTCTGATAAGGGTTTCTGCTTAACCAGGCGCCGTCGATTCTAGAGCCTTAGTAAATACCACTAATTTCTGTGCAGGCTTGATTCCAAGTATAGGACCAACACTCTTAAATAAATAACCGGAGTATTTCTTGCCATGTTTCAGTTTGAATGCTTGAGTATAACGTATCTGTGGGTTATTACGCAGTTCCAGGTGACGGCAATCATACTTCGTCTGTGATTTCGAATGTGCCCTTCGGTCTGGCGTGATAATGTTCGATGACTGGTTATACTACAATCACGTAAACATTTGTCGACTTTATTTAATTGACAGACCGCGTACGTTCGAAGCACGTAAAGTTGGACTTTAACTCTATTGTTTCATGAATACACTTGTAAATTTGTACCTTAAACTTGATGGCAGTTATACCTCGGTAGTTTGAAAGACAAGGTTAGATTAACGCCTTGATTTGATCTTAAAATGGTTTGAATCTACCAAACATCACATCAACGACGATTATTTTGGACCTAAGTAACATTATTTATTAGGTCCTATAGTAGCTCACTGAATTACATACACACCTAATCGTCGCTTCTTGTGAATATGTAAATGTTATGCAATACCAGGAATATATATGTAACATTTTATTATTTTTTGACCTCTAACATGTTGAAGTGTTTACATTGTATTGTCGTATAATTTTGTCGCAATTTATCAGTCTTGTTTCCGGTGCTTTCAACGTGGTATGGTTGCCCTGGTATGGCCGAGAGTGGGGTGGATCCACCCTCCCTCTCGAAATACTCTCACACGGCCACGCGTATACAGCCTCTACCAGTGAAGTCCTACTCATTGCCTTCTCGTGGCGGGGTATTGTTTACGAAAATGAGAGGACGAAAAGCGAACGTCCAGCGCTGTAACCGGATTCCAAATCAATGGTGCACATGGGCGCATATATATTTGGTGCCCCCCTGTACCAATATTTATGTGTTCAAATAAATAAATAATATAAATAAATGGCGTATGAACCAATTCTTTGATCACTGGCTTCCATGGGACTGCATCTCCTCACGATGCTCCACTGCCTTGTGGGTTAGACCTTTAGGTCGAAGGCTCGGGTTGTGGCCTCCTAAGAAAACCACCTGCTTCGGTTTGGGAACCCGGGCAGTATCACAGCCCATACACAAATATAATAAGAATGGTGATGTTCTCTGAAAACTCTATTCACGCCGCGATTTACCGTCAGACAATTCACATTATTGTTATTATTATCATTATTATTATTTTTTTATTACTATTATTATTTGCCACGTCATTTATTCACTCTTTTATTTTCACTCTGTCTATTCTTATTTTTCGACGTATACAGAAGCTCGCCTATGGTGGACATTCGGCTCTATCTAAACGTTCTCGTGTCACTGCCTATTTGAAAATTGTATGTTATCATCGAATAAGAGTACTGAAGCAGTCTTTCTGAAACCACTTGCACCATTCAAACTGGCTGCCTTCAACGTTCGCATACTTATGCAGGTTGGACAACAGATAGGGTTGGCTATAAGCAAATAGTTCATCATGATTTTAGTTTAGATATGGGGTCCGAGAGACGGTGTAACGCAGTGGCTAGAGACGTTATTAGACATGGCTCAGAATAGAAGCCAATGGCGATCCTGCTGTAACCGTCTTTTACTTTCTTCATAAAAAGTGGTTGTATCTTCCTTACCTGATAGATTTCTTCTGATTGTACCTTTCCGTTTTCCCCATCATTGTTCTCTCTCTTTTTTTTCATAATTCCCCACGTTCATTACCTTTTTTTTCTACTTCTCTTCAAATTATCATTTTGTGTGACGCATATGTATTTGGTGCCCCCTTGTACCAATATTTATGTGTTCAAATAAATAAATAAGAATAAATAGGGTTGGCTATGTCTTTGGAAAGTCTTAATATTGACGTGTGTTGTCTATCCGAGACCCATATACAAGACCCTGGTGAAGTATTACAAGTTCGCTCTCCATCTGTCGCTTCGAAAAGCTTGTTTTACGTGCGTTTATCCGGGGACCCTGTGGCATCTACGTCTGGAGTTGGTGTCGCACTAAGCGCCAGAGCTGAGGCATCACTAATCGACTGGATCCCCATTAACAGTCGGTTATGTGCTGTTAGATTAGAAAGTTCCATCAAAGTGAGAAGAAATCGGCGTGAGAAACGATGTCTTTTCGTCATCTCCGTCTATGCCCCGACAGATTGCAGCCCGGGTGCAATCAAGGATGAGTTCTACCACCAGTTAACTGTTCTTCTCCAGAAAGTGCGTTCGACAGATATTGTAGTACTAGCTGGAGACTTGAATGCTCAGGTCGGGCGTCTAGGCACAGAAGAGAGTCGTTTAGATGGCCGATGGGGACTTGTTGGTAGCAGGTTAGATAACGGGGAACGTCTACTGCAACTGTGCACAGACCACAACCTGTTTCTGGCTAGCACTAACTTTCGTCACAGTCATCGCCGATGTGCCACCTGGTGTCCTCCTTCTGTATCTCAAGCCTGGACTCAGATTGACCACATCGCGATCAGCTACCGCTGGCGTGGTTGTGTACAAGACTGCCGCTCCTTTTGGAGTACCTATCTGGAATCTGATCATGCTCTGGTCTGCGCCAATCTTACCTTACTTTTCAGTGGACAACGACGTGACCGCCACCAAAGGATTGATGTTAGCAAGCTGGCTGCAACTTCTGTTGCTAGTAAGTACCGAACCGAGCTAGCTTCTAGGCTAGCTACCATTCCACCGAAAAGTATAGATGAGCATTGGTTGCAATTGCATGACGCCATGAAAATGGCGGGTACAGTCTGTTGTGGGTTTGCGAAACGTCCCGTTTACAAGCACTGGGTTTCTTCTGGTTCCTTACAACTGATTGAAGCCCGTCGGTCTACTCCGGGTGACCGTGAGTTTGACCACAGACTAAGGATGTTACGTAATGAAATCGGGCAAAGCTTGCGTAAGGGCCGTGAAGCCTGGTGGTCGGAGCGTGCTAATGAGCTGGAAGCAGCAGCTGCATCTGGTAATTACCGGAAGCTCTTCCAACTCACCCAAGCCAGTGGCAGCAAGAAGTCTTGTGTGAGCGAAACAATCTGCGAGGATGACGGAACGCCAATCACTAACATCCATCGACGTCTTGGACGATGGGCAGAATTCTTTGAAGGGCATTTCAACTGGCCTGCTGCTCCGGCAACATCGGTCAGACTGTCCTGCCCTCCATGGCCGGTGACGACCGATCCACCGAATGAGGCGGAAGTCCGCAAGGAACTCCAACTCTTGAAACGTTACAAATCACCGGGCCCAGACGACTTACCTCCGGCTCTTTTTAAAGATGGTGATGACTTTCTGACTAAGGAACTGACGACGTTGTTTACAAAGGTCTGGGAACTAGAGAGTATACCAACGTCATGGAATGAGTCGATAGTTGTCCGTATCTTTAAAAAGGGTTCACGTCGTTCCTGTAACAAGTATCGGGGGATAAGTCTACTTCCGATTGCATCCAAGCTATTGGCTTCCGTCATACTTCGTAGGTTGTTCAAAACCCGAGAAAGATTGACTCGTGAGGAGCAGGCTGGTTTTCGTTCCGGTTGAGGATGTATTGATCATACCTTCACCCTCCGCCAAGTGTTAGAACACCGCCATACTAATCAAAGGCCAACAATCGTATTGTTTCTTGACATCAGAGCTGCCTTCGATTCGTTGGATAGGACTGCTCTCTGGGATTGTCTATTGAAGAAGGGTGTGCCTGAGAAGTTTATTAACATCCTAAAGGCCCTATACACAAACACCTCAGGCAGAGTGAAGGCATACAACCACCTTTCTCCACTATTCCATTCAAGCAATGGAGTTAGGCAGGGTTGCCCAATCTCACCATTCCTCTTCAACTTTGCCATCGATGACATTCTGGAAACAGCTCTGTTGGATGTAAGTAAGGGTGGTGTGGATCTGTTGCCTGGAGAAAGACTTCTCGACCTTGAGTATGCGGATGATATTGTCTTACTGTGCGATAATGCCCAAGCCATGCAATCCGCACTTAATCAGTTGGCAATCAGTGTCCGTAGGTATGGTATGTGCTTTGCACCTTCGAAGTGCAAAGTACTTCTACAAGACTGGCAGGATTCTAATCCTGCACTCACTCTGGACGGTGAGCAGATAGAAGTAGTCGAGAAGTTCGTGTATCTAGGTAGCTGCATAAGTGCTGGTGGTGGCGTGAGTGATGAGATCAATGCACGTATAGTGAAAGCCAGAGCGGCTTATGTCAATCTGGGCCATATTCGGCACCTTCGTGATGTTAGTCTGGCTGCAAAAGGTCGGATCTACAACGCGACGGTGAGAGCAGTTTTGCTCTATGCTTGTGAAACCTGGCCTCTCCGAGTTGAGGATGTTAGACGACTTTCTGTGTTCGATCATCGCTGTCTCTGAAGGATTGCTGGCATCCAGTGGCAACACTATGTCAGTAATGCAGAGGTTCGGCATCGTGTGTTCGGGCACAGAGACGACAATCCAATTGGTGTCACCATCTTGAAACACCGACTTCGGTGGCTTGGACATGTTCTAGGAATGTCGTCCCAGAGAATTCCTCGTCGTGCATTATTTGCCGACTCTGGGACTGGTTGGAAAAAGCTGAGAGGCGGTCAGTATATGACATGGTGTCGTGGTGTGAAAGAAAGCTGCAAAGGGCTAGCTTGTGTTGGACCTTCACGACTCCCTGTCTGGGGTCCGAGAGACGGTGTAACGCAGTGGCTAGAGACGTTATCAGATATGGCTCAGAATAGTAGCCAGTGGTGATCCTGCTGTAACCTTCTTTTACTTTCTTCGTAAAAAGCGGTTGCTTCTTCCTTAACTGAAAGATCTCTTCTGATTGTACATTTTCGTTTCCCGCTTTTTTGTTTTTTTTATAATTC